ATTCTTCAGTTTAAATTCATATATATTTTAGGTGTGCAGAATTATCAAATAGGAATCTTCAGACACGCGCGTGCGCACACACACACACCCACACACACACACCCATACACCCACATGTATATATGTATATACTAAAGAGAGAAAGAACATAACATGAAAAAATAAATCACTCGCCTCCAACCTCTGAGCTTACTATTTTGCGTTGATATGACATTTCATTGGTTAGTCAAGATATACCCACAAGTCTATTTTTAATTCTGACCTTATGTCCACCTGAATTATATCCCCTCTTTAACTTTCGAAAAAGAGGTAAAAGTTTGTTTTTAAATTTCTTTTTAAAGTCATTTAATCACCAGTTACTTACCATTGCCTGAAGTAATACAATCATTTATTAAAACACGAAAGCTTTTGTGTTGCGATTTCAACGTGTTTTTATTATAATCTCATATAATAATAATAATAAGAAGAATAGTAATATATATATATATATATATATATATATATATATATATAGTATTAAGTTGTAAGAAGTTTTGGTGCCAAAATTTCTGATTTTTTTTTTCGCAGTTTACTGGTGGAAAAGCAATTTAGGCAGGCAGTTTTTGTCGAAAAGTGCTCGATATCAATATATATATATATATATATGAACATTTCTAAGAGTTAACCTGTAGAAAAAGACAATATATATATATATATATATATATATATATATATATATATATATATATATTCTGCTAATATATTTTTATTTTATATATATTTTTAATCATTTTAATTCTAAAAAAAGATTATTTATATATCAGTATTTGCATTATTTTTAATCTCTTAATCTTTTTTTTTTACATGTAAAAAGAGATTAAAAGTAATGGGAAGCCCTAATAATAAAAAAGAAAAAGCCAAAACTCAATAACATTAACTACGAACACGGCCACAACTGTGTTTAGGAAATAAAACATCCCCATAAGTCTAGATACATACACACAACTCATACATTCAGCTTAAATTTAAAAATAGAATCATATTTGATAATGGTATAGCCGAAAGCGCTCAGAAGACATGGAAACTGATCCTTTCAGCATCCACGTCTCAAACGTATCTACGAATCGAAGACAACGATTTTGAACAAAAACAAACAAAAAATTCAATATCTTCCATCAAGTATTCCAGTATATATGACTCAAGGTAAACATTTACAAAACAGAAACTTTTACCTAGATTTAGAATGAAAGCAATCATGGCATGTCTCCTGAATCCATCAGAAAAATTCTGGTTGAAGAATTAGTAAACACTTAATACTTCAAATACTTCGGCGAAAATATTAGTTATAATAATTTTAGTACAGAAGGAAAGGAAATTGAACATAGAATTTGATGTGCTCGAAGTAGTTTCGTACCAAACCGTAAATTGCAACATAATCAAATCATTAACCTGAAAACTCCAGTCATGATCTTAAATAACGTCGTCAGCTCGGGAATCATAAGAATGTCATGCATGACGCCAAACCCTTATGGAAATTTCTAAACTGTCAGTTGTATCCGATCAATGGTTAAAAGGGCGTTAAGAGAGTGTTAGTCAGCGAAGACCGCCCTTCTTTATACATTGTAGACTGGCGCTAAATAATCACAAAAGAAGAAGTGCATCAAATAACAGACCGCATCGCTCGAGGACTATCAACAGCAACAACGGCTAAAATAGGTATCACATATAACTCGTAGAGAAAATAATGATATAATCAACATTCCACACTACTACAGATAAAAGAATAAGTAGGATACCTGCAAAACCAATAATGATAAGAGCAATAACAGCTTTCTTTTCTTTTTATGTGGCATGTCCATTCAGGACGTAGGCGATCATGGCTCTCCACTTCCTTCTATCCCTTGCAGCTCTCAACAAGTTCTCTCCCTCTGCTTCCTCCCCCAAAACACGTTCTGTCATCCACTTTCTGAAACTTATGCACAAGCACATACCACTATATGCACGCTGGTTTACCCATGAGAAAGAAAGAAAGAAAGAAAGAAAGAAAAAGAATCTAGGTACGTCACGCGTTGTTTTCCCTTGTCTCTCTTTCCCTCTATTCGACCCGTGAGTATCAGATTCTCCACGCCCTCCTTCCTCATTATGTGTCCCAGAAACTTCAGTTGCCTCTTCCCGATGTTAAATATAAGCCTCCTCCTTGTTTGCATTATCACTAAGACCTCATCGTTGCTCATACGCTCGGTCCATAATATCCTTAGCATCCTTCTGTAGAACCACATTTCGAGTCTCTTCTTCATCCTTGTGGAAATCGTCCAGCATTCGCTGCCGTGAAGACGGACAGGTGTCACGTAACAGCTCAGTATTCTTTTCTTTATTAACAAAGAAATCCCCCTGTCTTGCAATATTCTGCCCAGCTTTTGAAATGCGTCTTTGGCTATCCCAATACGTCTTCGGATCTCAGTGTCGCATTTACCGTCCTCTGTCAGAACGTTTCCCAGATATTTAAATTTTTGCCTCTGCTTGAGTCTTGTGTTCCCGACCGGCAAATCGCATTTTGGGATTATTCTTTAACTGATCACCATACAGTCTGTTTTCTTGTAGTTTATTCTTAGTCCCTTCTCACTCTCCCTCACTAACTTCTGTAGGAGAAAACTATTGCTTTAAGAGAAAGATATTATAAACACCAATCGACAGCAGAAGAAACTTCTCACTCAATGAGGGCCGAATATTTCCTTGTAGAGTTACATTGGACTGCAGGATAAATGTATGGATTTATTATGTGTTTCTTTTTTACAGTAACTCTCACCTTGTACAAGGCCAGAGGGCCACTCGAGGTAGAGAGTTATATTAAGAGGCAGTTTATGCGGATAGGAAAGGAAGATAACGGTTAACCCTAGACTTGAACAAGTTAAGGTAGTAGTGACCGTGAAAACTTCCTCTTATGAGTTGGTTCCACAAACAACGGTTTGCGAGGAGAAGACATCCGAGTTAAATTTTATTTGTCACCGATGGGACACGGAGGGAGTGTGGCGTAGCTGTTCCTATCCGTGAAGGTTAGAAATAACGGAACCTAGGAATGTAGTTCTTCCAGGAACTTTCGATGGAAGTAACGATAGAGCAGTGAGTGTCTTACCACATTCCGCTTGTAAGAGAAAGGTTGGAGGGTGGAAAATAATTTATCACGCACAAGGACTCTGAGACGCTTCTGGAATCTATCGAGATTGGAGAGTGGTGACAGGGCATCTCCCGTCCAAACATGACGACATTACTCCTTTTTCGACCTGGTCTGGCTCTTTTAAAGGTAGAGGATAGCACGGGAAGTCATCTACTTACTGGAGCTTTACAGGGAATCGACCATTTTTCCTCCATCTTTTGCGATGGGTCGTATGTACGACTTCCATTTGAGGTCAGGTTTGAATTTAAGGCCCAATAGCTTCTCAAAGCACGGAGTCCTGCTTTAAATTAACTGACGATTGTTCATAATTTCTCACCAACATCAGAAACCGATGTTCGAATGTTAGCCAGCAATTTTCAAGGTAGACATACACTGTACTACTAAATTAACACAACACTATCTTTCTCACTTTAGCTCGCCAGGTTTGGCTAGGCACGAGGCTAAACTACAGTCGTTGAGTAGAGACACGAAATATCTTTCATGGATATATTGAGGGAAAACTATACGAATGAAGTAAATTTGACGTTTTGTGCATCTCATTAGTAGGCAGTTTTGAATGTCTGATCATGTATAAATATTTGATCATTAAACCAGTGATTCCTAAATTTTTTTCTCAGGCCGCATTTTCGGAATTAAAATTTGTTAGCGCTACACCTAATTTTATGTGATAAAAAGTACATTTAAAAATATTTAAAAAAAACAGAATAAGGTTAAAGGGAGATAACCGCTGATTCGGAGTAAAAAATTATCATTGATAACTCTCTCCTCCAATTTGAGGAAACTAGTTACTATATTCCTAATACTTGATATAATGCAAAAATATCACAATGATAAAATTGGTCAATAATTATTAATAACTGGGACTCATGCATGCAATTAAAAGTAATCCATAAAAATATTTCAAATTTTGAAATCATATTCATTTTTTGCCTATGGATGTTTTGAAACTGCTTCTAAATTCTTGATTGTCTTTCAATCATTCCTCTTCACTTGCTTTCCTCTTCCGCCGCTCATACAAGGCGTTCTTCACCATTTGGGAACCACTGCATTAAATAAATGCTTATATCTTTAAATGTAGAAAAAGTGGGTAATCAAGCGGTCTTATTGTCGCAATCTCGATTATCATTAACATGTTCTGGAAGGTGTATTTAATGCTAAGTACGATTTGAGTAGTCAGTGATATCCTTACCAGCTTTACCTTATCTCAAATACAAATATAATCATTCAGTGCAATTATCTTTGAATCATATATTCTTGGAAACATGTCTTCTGGTTTATTACGTATGTGCGGTTTAATAAAAATTTGATATAATATTTTTTTAAATTTGTTTCCCACAGTAAGAAAAAAAATAGTCATTAAAAAAATAGGGCAACCTCCACAAGTCATTGCAAATGCAACACATTTTTATCTATCTATCTATCTATCTATCTATCTATCTATCTATCTATCTATCACTGTTTATTACTATCTCCCTATCTCAGTCAATTACTATGTATCAACCGGATTCTAGTCTGTTCATAACTATCTCTGTTAAATGCAATCTTCTCTTTATCTTCATCTCTCTCTCTCTCTCTCTCTCTCTCTCTCACACAATATATATATATATATATATATATATATATATATATATATAATTGCATATTTATGTACTTATATATATATATATATATATATATATATATATATATATATATATATACATAAATATGCAATTTAAATATATTAGTAGAATAATTTTATGCATTATAAATCTCGGTTCAAAATAATATTAATGCCAGTTCAAGATTATGGGCGTATATATAATCAAATGCATATCTACAAGAATGAATGAACTGAAAATTAGCATTAGACTGAGTAGATAGATAGATAGATAGATAGATAGATAGATAGATAGATAGATAGATAGATAAGAGCGGATGCAGATGGCCTAACAATTGTGTAAATGCCTGACTGTTGACTGCAATGTCCACCTTTATGTTTATATGCGCTCTATCCCTGATATTGATCTCTTTAGCCCATAAATATATCATACTTTAAAACTACATTTTTCATATATATATATATATATATATATATATATATATATATATAATATACCCAACATCAAATCAATCCAACTAAATATGTTAGCTCTATCACTGATATTGAACACTTTCCAATAAGTACAGCGCATATATAATATATAAATAATATGTATAAAAATTACACACACACGCACATATATATATATATATTTATATTTTATACAGTCAGATTTTACATATATATATATATATATATATATATATATATATATATATATATATTCGTATACGTATAAATATGTAATTGAAATATATTAGGATAATAATTTTCTGAATTATGTAGCTAACTCGGTTTATCATGATATTAATGCCAGTTCATTATTCTTAACATATGTATAATCAAAAATACACAAGAAAAAATAAATTGAAAATTATAAATAAGCTGAGATAGATAGATAGATAGATAGATAGATAGATAGAAAAAAGTCTGATATAGATAGATAGATAGATAGATAGATAGATAGATAGATAGATAGATAGAAAGAAAGAAAGAAAGAAAGAAAACTTTAATATTAAATTAGTTGTTATAGATTTTTTCCAAATTTAATTCCATTTTAGTACAGCAGATAAAATAGTTTAAGGTATGATATATTTAAAGACTTAAAGTGATCAATGGCAGAGATAAAGTGTATGTAAATATAAAAGTGAACATTGCAGTCAACACCCAGAGGCAACAGACACGCTTTTACACAATCGTCAAACCATCTGCATCCGTTCATATCTATCTATCCATCTATCTACTAGGTCTATTGCTAATTTTCATTTTATTCATTCTTGTATAATATTTGATTATTTCTACGTCAAGAATCATGAGCTAACACTAATATCAAGATAAACCGAGATAGCTATATAATGCATAAAATTATTCTACTAATATATTGGAATTACCTATTTATATGTATATATATATATATATATATATATATATATATATATATATAGATAGATAGATAGATAGATAGATATAATTGAACAAATATAGATTCCTATTAACAGTCTGAAATTCGGTATATACAGTGTGCGATTGATAAATTGTTTTCTATATTACGCAAAAATGAAAATAACACTGAATTCACATTTTAACATACACATTTACAGAATTGTACAAAAATATCTTGAAATACTAAAGAGTAAATGTATTTAATAAAATCGTCATTGGCTTCAACCACGGCCTCCAAACGACTTTGGAATCTCCAGCATCTTCTCTGGGCGGTCTCCTTATTTAAGTTGGTGAATGCTGTCATAATCCTTGTTTTCAGTCCATATTTGGTGTTGCAAGGAGATTTGTTGGTCTCTCGCTCAACAGCGCCTCACACATAATAATCAAGGGTGAGTAGTCTGGGGAGTTAGGTTGCCAGATGCAAGGGGTGATGTGATCGCAAAAATTGTCTAACAGCTATGACTGGGTTCTCCTCCTCGTAGAGTCCTATTGCCAGACATATTGTCTTCCAGCAGCCAGCATCTAGATCCAGAGCTTGATGTAGGCCTCCGTGTTGAGTCTGAGGTCTTTATGGAAAGATGAATGGAAGCATAACGTCGCTATCATGAGATGACTGGATATATCATCCATCTCTTTCCGAATCCTCTGCACTGAAACCCAAACACTGAAATTTTCGTATAGGAGCTTCCGGTGCGAATGCCAAGCAGTACAGCATGCCGTTTCAAAAACAGACAACGCGCATGCGCGAAATTAAAAATATAAAATGCCGAAAAAGAAAAATTTTATCAAACGTAAGATGTGTTTTAAAATAAGGTTTTAATATAGATGAAGTGAAAAAGAGAGAGAGAAAAGGGGTGAAAGAGAGGGAGATATCTATGTCTAGAGAGAGATATAAAGGAGGAGTAGTAAGATAGGGAAAGGAAGGGAAACAGTTGTGGAGAAAATACCGACGGGTTGACCTCTTTTCATCGGATGTGACAAGTAAAATAAAGAGAACATATTCCAAAACGAACATAGGAAGAAAGGAGAGAAAAAGGAAAGAGAAACAAAAAGTAAGAAAAAGAAAAGGAAAAAAAAGAGGGGATTTGGACATGAGAAACAACAGAGAGTAAAATTTACAAAACGGGATATATAGATAAGTTGTCTGTTCAATTCTTGTAGTTATTTTATGCCATCAATCATATCCGCGTCCTGGGTATGACGATGAACTACAACCGACAGCAAGGCGTCTGATCAGGAGGTTTTGAAAAGCTTGGAACCACCTCTTAATTGCTGGTGTTCCCAGGTTCACCCTGATTTGGAGTGGTAGCACGTGTTAGGTTCCCAGCTATAGCCAAATAGTTAACCCCCAAACTGGGGTCAAAACTCTACGAAAATGTAAAAATAAGTTTTAATACCAGCAATACATTTTTGAAGGGAAATATTAGCAGCAATAAAAATCTTGTCGGCATTAAATAACCCATTGAGGTTGATATGCCGTAAAACAAACCAAACCAAATCAATCGTATCCGTTGTAATTTTCAAAAAAAAAAAAAAAGCTAATCACAAGCAAATCTTCCAGAAAAAAAAAGCAAATAGGTAATCGTCTGGTTGAATAATGGCAGCTGAAATTTACATAGACTTAACATCGCACAAGCTGTTTCTTAATGTTAAGAAATAAAGAAAAAATACCAACAACGAGAAGACATTAAGATCATACTTATCACGTGTTTTTTAGATTTGCGTCTTTTCCACTTGTTTCAATGATCGGTGTTCTAACTCAATTAGAGAAAAAAGCGACAGTTTTTTTTAATGCTACAATGCTTCTTCCTTTCACCTTTTTTGTCTTGTTTTTAGTTAAACTAAAAAATTATCAATTAGTCACGTAGCTAATTTGAAATATCACCAAATAAGGCAACATTTGTAAAATTAAACATTCAGTGATAGAGCTTTTGATACGTGCTATTCTGAATATGAAAGCATTTGTAATGTTCATCGCTGAATGCGGTAACATTTGTAACAGCCGTCATCCAATGATAAACATGTTACATTCATTTCTAAATGAGAGACCATTCACAATGTTGAATGGAGTAACATTGGTAACATTAATGTTAAGAGTACTGAACTGTTATGCAATATCAGTCATCCTATATAGCAGTGAATGTTGCGCGGTAACGTCACAGATGAAGAAGTGACTTGAAGCAATAGAAATGTGGTTATACAGAACAATTCTGAGAATACCGTGAACAGATCATGTGAGCAACGACAAAGTTTTAGAGAAAATGTAAACAAAAAAACACTTATACTAAACATAAGAAAGGAACAGTCGAAAATTATATGGCACATTATGTGGAAAGAGGTTTTGTAGACTTTGATACTCATATGATGATTTCACAGCAAGAGAAACAGAAGAAAACAACACATAACGTACCTAGCGAGCTTGTGTAAATGGATGACAGAACAAGGTTTAAGAGAGGTAACAAGAAGACAACATTTATTAAAAGCTACAAAGTGCATTGTGGAGAGCCATAATTGCCTACGTTCTGAAAAGACACTGCACATAGAAGAAGAAAATCAAATGACAGACTGTTACATTAATTACTAAATGAAACTCATTTGTAATGTTTATCATAGAATTATGTAACATTTTTAACATTTATCATGAATTAAAATCCCTTGTGACAGACATTACAAAAAGTGAGAATATTTGTAATATTCGTCATTCAATGAGAGACCCTTTGTTACATTTATGACATAGAGAAAATTGTAATGACCATCAATGAATAATGTAACATGTAACATATAATGGCAGACGAAGGCTTTGAGCGAATGAATCATGAGTGTTATGTCAAAGATCATCCTTCTTTGAATATTCTCGACTGGCGCTACAGAATCACAAAGAACTGCACCAAGCTTACGGTAATATCACGTTGAAACGCCGGTTTGGAGTTAAGCAACGTTGAACCTGGTCAGTACCTAGATGGGTGAACCCTCGTTAATACCAGGTTCTATAAGTTTAGATGTGCGGATAACGGCACTGAATGAGAAATAGGAAAGGTGAGTTTGAATTCCAGTCGAGTTCGTTATATTCACGTAATTGCAAATACCTTCAGGAAAGCTATGAATTCACCTTTTCTCCTCCCGCCTTTGATTTAAATAGTAAGACTTGTATCAGAAAATTATTATTATCTTCAACATATTCTTACAATCCAAAAATATGTTTTAAATAACCATAAAAAAGGTTGATAAGCCTTAAAAACAAATCAGTCAATTAAAACCAAATAACAGAAATCACATCGCTTGAGGACAACCAACATCAGCAGCAATTAAAATAGATATCTCATGTAACTCGAAGAGAAAATAATAATAATAATAATCAAGTTGTTGACATTCCAGACTACATCAAATAAAAGATTAGAAAGGAAGTCTCAATCATTACTGGAAATAACGATAACTTATTTTTCTGAAAAATTGTTTTAAGAGAAAGATTCTATAAATTTAAAACGAATACAATACTGGCTGCTTGGGAAACGGCTAATATTACTATTTGTAAACTTATTTGCTAATTTCATTAAACCGGATAAATATTTCCATATCATTTTATATCATATACACCGTAAATAATAGTCAGCTTTGCCGAATAATGAAAAGCATTTTCTAATATAAATATACTCATTAGCAAGATGAATTTTTGTTGTTGTAGCACTGAAAAACCATCTTGCCTAAGAACTTATATCAATTCTCTCTATTTATCTCACCAGTATCATCAATTTTTGAATGACCTACAATTTTATTGCCTATAATCAAGAAACTATACTGGCAGCAAACCGTCTGCATACGGATAGAAAATGAGTACAGCAAACAGGTGTAAGACAAGGATGTGTATTCTCACAGGACTTCTTCAACCTATACGGCAAGGTAATTCTGAGAGAATTAGAAGTCTTACTAGGATTCAATGGCGGCCACAATCTTAACTTTAAAAATTTACAAAAAAGACTCGTACATTAAAATTATAAACGAGGAAGCGAAAAATATCAGCCAATCTGGAGATAAGCGACAGGATCCATACATTATGCTGCAAACAAGCATTTCTAAGCATAAAAGACTTTAAAGATGAATTCCCCAATAACACTTCTTTTCGATTAATAAACCCAACTAAAACTGAACTGAGAAATAAACCAAGAAATACTGAAAAAAGTGAGACTTATTAAGGAATGTCAAAATCAGTAAAAGGACTAAAGTAAATGCATTTCTTCGTTCCACAAAATTACAAATAATAACAAATATATATTTATAAAATAAGGCATTAAAAACTTTTATCTATCTATATTTGAAAAAAGGTCTGCTGGAGGCTTTGTACTTCGCCAAAGGCTTCGTAAACATAACACCTGATCAAACGGAAATAATATTACATCGCCGCAAATCGGTTTCATTCCACAATGAAGTAACCTGGATTAAGAAATAAGACGGTTTCAATGTACTACAAGGTTTGTTTGATGGTGCTGAGGTTTCGGAGTTAAAAGGCCTACATATCAGCATGTACGAAATTAACAAAATTGTACACATAAACAATTCCGGTCTGTATAGAGATGACGGTCTGACGATAGCGGCAGACAACAGAAGAACAAATGACTATAGAAAAGCGCTTTTTAAGCTCTTTAAAAGCAGAGGCTTAGAAAAAGAAGTCGAAATGAATAAAAAAAAGTTGTCAACTGTTTGAACATAGAATTAAATCCACAAGCTGACAATGTCTCCCCATACATGAAACTCAACGCAAATTTAAAATACGTGAATATTAGATCTAACCACATTGCAAACATAATAAAGCACATCCCTAAATATATAAGTTATCTAGAAAGTCTAGGTTATCGAGAAAAACTTCTAGTAAAATAATTTTTGAGGATAAAAAGAAAGAATATGAGAACGTAAAGGTAGATTGTCACAAAACTAAATTAGAATTTAAACCTCGGATTAAACAACATATGAAGAACAATTCGAGGAAAAGATCACTTGGTTTAACCCCTTTTAACTAAGTGGTAAAATGTAAAATAGGAAGTTATTTTTCAAATTACTTGATAGACACTTCCCAAATTCTTCAGAATTACATAAGATATTTAACAAAACTCAGATAAATTAAACTACAGCTGCACTAATAATTTAAAAACAATAACAAAACGCCTGAAATTTCAAAACTAACGCGCAGCAATATATAGTTAGCACTAGTAATTTATGAAACTGTAGAAATAAGAATAGATGTCCATTAGATAGAGCTTGTAAAACTGAAGCAATAATCTATAAAGCAGAAGTTATAGATATTAATGATCAAAATAAAACGTACATAGGATGTACTGAGAGTTCTTTCAAACGAAGATGGTACAATCATAGGTCGTCATTCAAGATGCTAAGTCTTAGGAGCACAACCAAACTAGCTAACCATGTGTGGAATTTAAAAGAAGAAAAAAAGCAGGGATCCGATTGTAAGCTTGAAAATTTTGTAAAAGCCGAAGCCTTACAACAACTACAATATCATTTGCAATCTCCACCATCAGGAAAAATTAGCAATAATGACCTTTCCGGGTGCAAAGAACCTTTTGAACCAGAGATGCGAAGTCATGAGTCATTGCATACATACAAAAGAAGTTCATATGAGGCTGGTTAAAAAAAAGTATGTACATTTCAATTAACCCCATCGTCATACATTTATATTACCCTAACTTTTCTCCTCCACCCACTTCTTCTTCTCTTTCCTTCTTAACATCCTCCTACTCCCTTTCTATCGCAACCAACGCCGTGCGTTTGTTAATTTATTTTTAAAAATAATATAGCGTTCATTGTTTTTTTTTATTTGTTTTTTAAATAAAGCTTTGCGAGGTCAATTGATAAAAATCGTCTGAGGATACCATAAGGTTGAAACCAATGTAGCGAAATCAACTGATCTCCTAATTTTTAATATATATATATATATAAGTATGTCTTAAAATAATTGTCGGACTTTGTCTATTTCATAATGTGTGACGTGATTTGTTTACATTTGATACACCATGAGCAGATATGAATGTACGTGAGAGATTCATAGAAGATTGAAGTTCAAATACAGTAAATTCGACCTTGCTA